AAAACCCAACAATTTTTGTTCTGGTCAACTTGGTCGTTTCTGTGTTTTTGAACAAACAGACGAACAGACGATCCAAAAATAAATGTAAATAACTTTAACTTTATGAAATACGTAAGCATAAAATCCAATTACAAATGGTATTTTCTTATTAAAGTTTACAAAAATAAGTTTTAAACATTTGATCCTTTAATGATATAAACTTGAGCACCAGCACCTCCAAATAGAATAAAAAAGCAAATATTTAAAAAAGTTCTGAAATTGCATGCAGACCTCTTGCTTGACTAGCCTAGCAGGGGAATTAAGTTAACTATACCTATAAACAATACAACTAGACAACAGCTGTACATTCTTGAAGAGATTAGGCACGAAAAAAAATTTTTCTCTTAGAAAAACATTTTGCATCTAAACATTGCAAAGAAAGAAAAAAAGTTTTCTTTACAATTTTTAACACGATTTAAAAGATTTTTAAATTTAATTTAGAATATTAAAGTTTAACTGACTGGTTTCACAATATTCATATCAGTAATATGCTTTACGAAAAAGATTTTCTTCATCATTTCTTAATCTATATATATGCTTTTATTATCTGTCTGTCTGTTTGGTTGTATCAGATAAACGTCAAAACGGCTGAACCGATCGGGCCCAAATTTTGTGTGGGACCTCACATGACTCCAGGAAAGGTTTATGGATGATCAAAATTTCAAAAATTAGCCTCCAACCAAATTTTATTTTCATTATAAATTTTGAAAATCCCCGAAATTTTTATAAAATCTGCAAACTTTTTTGTTGGTATTGTTTTACAATGTAAACAAAACGAAAATGTTCACAATTGTCTGGTTCTTTTAAATTTGTATTTTAAACTTAAATAGAGAAATATAATGGAATTTACAATTACAATTTTAGCTATAGGTGGTATCTGTCCAAGGTTTGGGGGTATGGGATAAAAAAAATATTGAAATAAAAACCTGGGGGAGGCGAGGGGAGGCAGGGTAAGTGCAAAAAGATCCCTGTAGGTATAAAATGCCCCAGTTTTATCAAATAAAATTATATAGTGTCAAGTTCTACGGTAGTGAGATTCATGGATTTTCAAATCTCACTACCGCCAATACCATGCAGTTTGAAAATAAAAGTTTAAATTTTATATTCTCATCTTGGAATTTCAAATTTCACTACCGCCAAAACTTCTAGTTTAAAAGTATTTACAATTTCTAATTTTGAAAAAAAGGCATTTAATAATCTGAAAAGTCTCAAAAAATTGAATAAAAACTAGCTCTCAAAGCCTTCAATACCATTTTCTTTTAATTTGTACAGAAAATTTTCGCTCAAAAAGTAGGCATTTTATACAAACACAGGGTGTAATGCAAGGAAAGTCAATTGCGGTTGTGTATACTCTGTGTAAACATATTGAAACCAGTTCTCTCTGGGCGGAATTTATAAACAATAATAGATGCATTATTGTTCGTTCAGTATTCGAGGAGGGGGGTACAATGGAAAATTTACTTCTCTTTAGTACTGTCTGTGAAAACATTGATCCAAAAAATGCATTTATGTTATAAATTCCTATGACCAGAATATTTCATTGATTTTTTATTTGAAAGATGGATCCCATGTCAGGCTGTGGCACTCTTAATCTTGTGTTTACATTAGAGCCCAAAGACAGTACACTGCAGTACACTCTTCTCAACCTAACTACCCCACTCCTCAACCTTACCACCCCTCTTCTAAACCTAGCCCCTCTCTTCTCAACCTAACCCTCCTCTCCTCAACCTATCCCCCTCATCTCAACCTAGCCCCCTCTTCTCTCTCAACCTAACCACCCTCTTCTGAACCCAACCACCCTTTCATCAACCTAACCCCCCTATTCTCAACCTAACCTTCTTCTCCTTAACCTAACCCCCCTCTTCTCAACCTAACCCCCCTTTCATCATCCTAACCCCCTTCTCATCAACCTAACCCCCCTCTCATCAACCTAACCCTTCTTCTCCTCAAACTAACCCCCCTCTCATCAACCTAACCCTTCTTCTCCTCAAACTAACCCTTCTTCTCCTCAAACTAACTCCTCTCCTCAACCTAACCCCTTTCTCCTGAACCTAACCCTTTCTCCTCAAATCAATCCCCCCCTCTCCCTTTACCCCACTCTGTATTTTATGAATAATTTATATATTTCTATATGGTTACCAATTCTCTCATGTATATTTTGTAAGGACCAAGGTCCATTAAACGTCGATCCTTGCATAATGCATACTTTTTACTCCAGGCTTTCTGTTTGCACACTCATTTGAACCAACCTCATACCATGAATTATTCAACCATTTGTAATTCTTTATTCATGCAACAGTTGTAGTAATAAGATAGTTCTCCAGGTAGATATTAAGCTCCAGAAGCTTGGGACGTTGTATACGATACAGTATTGCAGAGTGATTTAATTTATAACAGAGGAGCATGATCACGTTCTGTATCGTGGATAATAAAAACTAGTAATTTATTGAGCGAAAGGTTTGTTTAGTGGGAGCTATTCTTTAACGTGCTGAAGCAATGATGGGCAAAAGCTTGTTTTTTAAACTTATCAGTGGCCGAATTTAAAGAATTTGAGCGGCGGTTTAAATTTAAGCCGCGGTTTAAATATGGTTGGTTCCACTTAAAATTGTATCAAATGTTTCAAGATTTAAGCCAGCGCTTAATTTAAACCGGGTTTTGGCGGATTTAAACCGCGGCTCAAATTCTTTAAATTCCGTCTCATGTTTCAAGGTTCCACAAAATTCAAAGAAGTTTTAAAAAATTTGAAACTGTTAGTTTTAAATATTTGTTTTCATTATACTATGCCAAATTTTGATCCCGAGAGAAGAAATCTCTGTGGAAAATAGATCAAAAACAATAGTTTTTTTGGTGCTTTTAAACGTCCAAAAACCAAGTTATACTTCATTACTAGCTGCAAGAAGTTGCTGATAACTTAAATCATATATTTCTAATTTTAACAATTGATACTATAAATGCAAAAATATATATGTATATATAATGTATTGAAAATCTGCAGCATTTAGGAGAGCTTTGCTAGCTTAGAGCTGTTTCCACATATTTATAGAACTCATTCAGAAGTTTAAAACAATTATTTTTAAAGCAAAGCTCCATTCAACACAGCAACGACTCATGTCTTGGGCGAAAAAAAATGTTTTAATTGATAAAAAGGATTATAAGCACATTAAAAAATGCCAAAGAGAGATTATTATTATACAAGGCTTAAACAGAATTTGTTTAGAAAATATTTGAATTTTCTTTTTCACTTTTTCATTTCAATGATGTATGAAAGACCCCAGATTGGGAGGAAAATCAGACAAGCTCTTTGAATTTTAAGTACTATATAATTTTCCAATAAATGAACATGTTGAAAAGAAAATTTTCCAATCCTAAACTCCCTGAGATAAAAAAGAATTAAGTTCTGAAGTGAAGGTCAGGTTTACAACTGTACCCTTTAAGTAAAGAGAACTCTTTGTGTTAATATCTTAAAAACCAAATGAATCCCTCTAAAATATGGTGTACAGTTTAACCTCAACACATCTGATGCGCTACTTGTTTAGCTTGACATAACCAAATATCTTACAATAAAATCCATCATCAATGTATATCCCGAAATTACCCCTTTAGGTGTGCTGTAATGTTTTATGCATACCGAAAAATCATGTTTAGATTTTCTTATTTTGTACTTTCGCGTGATTTGTTATTTTTGACAGTTACTATATCATTTTACTGAAGTGGGTCAACCTAGACCAAAACTCTAAACAAATGGGTAAATAATTCATATGATTTATATGCTTTATTGGACCAACATCAGCACCAAATATTAGTTAACGTATGCTGCAGGGTTCTCAAGAAAGATGACACTATAATGGCGACCTGCAAAATTATGATTTAAAGCGATATGAAATATAAATATGGTCTGTGGCCTAAATTTTATCCTTACAGCATGATTTACTTCATGATTTGGCAAATAAAGAAATCAGTTTAAAGTTGCAAGAAACCAAGGTTATAATTTGTAAACAAGATTAGATGCATCAGTGTTCGTTTAGTTTTCCGAGGAGGTTAAAAGCATTAAATTTTGATAATTTTGACAATTTCCTGTGACCAAAATATTTCATTGATTTTTTATGTAAAAGATGGATCCCATGTCAGGCTTCGACATCCGTCTTGTGTTTACATTACCGCCCAGAGACAGTACACTGCAGTACAAAAGTTGCGTACACCTCTGAAATAACTTTCCTTGCCTTGCAGGGAAACAAGACTGTGAGGAAAAAATAATTCTGTACAGTCGTCTCTGAAGTCTCGTCCTGCGTGGGTACTGCATGGGGTAGTTCTGTGAGTTAATTGGATGCAACCCAAACAAAACAGCATTGAAATTACAATCCAAGAAATTCAACATTTAGCAGATTTCAAAAGTAGAACACTGTAAGCTTGACAGAAGAACATGACTGGTACGACAGGGTGACCTCGTAGCTCCTCTACATGCACAAGTATAAAAAAGCTAATTTATTTTGTTATATATCAGAAATTCAAACATATTTTTGTTCTTCTTAAACAGCTCTAGCGATTAAGGAGGTATGATTGGAAAATTTCAAACTTGCGTGTTATGTTATTTAATTACTTTAATTTAAGCTAATTTTTTTCTAGTTTTCCTTGTCATAAAAATAAGGATCTAAACCAGACAACGGGCATTATATTTCAGGTAAAACATGTCCCCACCTCCTTAATTCCTGTATGAATACTTTAACCCCCCCCCCCATCATTCTTTGTACTTTTATTTTACTGTATAAAAGGTTGTGTTTGTTTAGGGGAGAGGGTTTAGGAGGGGGGGAGGGGGGTAAAAGTTGTAAATAATGAGAACAGATTTGATTATGGCGGAAGTATGGTGAAGGGGCAAGGATGGTTATCCAGGCGGGGGTTTAAGACGGGTCCTGAGTCTCCGGACGGTTTCAAGTTTGCCGAGAGCCTCGTACCCTGTCCTCTACACTATACACAGTTATTCTTTACTATACACCACAACAACAAGGAACAGTGTACACTCTTTATACTCTAGTTGAGACCTTTGTAATATTAGAGTTAAACCATGTAAGAATTTAACAGGGCGGAGAAAATCTTCAGACCTTGCTCTGTGTCCTGTTAAACAGGAGAATAAAACAGGTGGGTTGAACATGAGAAGTTATCTAAGTATAAACTTGGATATTGTTTGATCCTGGTATCATGATATTATCAGAAATTACGACCTTCCATGGGAAATATGCAGTACCTATATATATATGGAGTTATAGTTTGCTTGTTACAGTTTTAATCTAACTTCAATGTCAATCTTTATATTTGCGCACTACGCCTTAGTATTTCTTACTGTAGGGTAGGGTTGCGACAAAGTTGTTACTGAAGTAATAAATACAAATCTGTTAGTCTGATATAGAGAGCCCCTAGGGACAGAAGTCACACATTTTGTTTGTTTTTCTTATTTATATTTTCAAAAAAGGAATTGAGTCTTTGCCACAAGCTTAAATTTTCTAATTTCTATGTTTTTCCAGTCTGATAATGCAAACCTTTCATATTTTAAACTTAGGTTATTTGATCATACAGAAGACATAGTTTGAAATATCAAGGATCTACGACATAGGGTTCCAAAGATATAGGGATTATAAAATCAGAGTTTGTGGCAAAGACTCAATTCCTTTGTTTTCAATATGATTACACTTGTTCTTTGCATTTAACAAAAGACGATGTTAGTTTTGTTTTAAAAAATCCCCAAACAAAATTATCTACTTCATATATGTTTTCCTTGACTGGACTACAAAAACATGAAACCGTTTTTTATTTGTCTTATTGTAGATATATACATGTAAAGGTTGATCAGATTAAAAAATGAATATAAATATAATTTTTTTGCATAGGTTAACTTTTTATTTTACTACCTACGTATATTTAAGTGAATGTAAACGTAATTTCGAGTGATTCTTTATTTTCACAGGGGCATAATTGATTCACAACGGTATCCTTGAAACCTATATCTGAAAACTATTCATTTTTATGCCTTCTGCATGAATCCACTCGTCACTTGATAAATAAAACCATAATTGGAAACTATCAATTTTCAGATTGTAAAACATGGGTTTCCCTGTGGTAGAAATTCTCAAGCAACATGTAGAAACCACGATTTAAGATAATCAGTTTGCATAATTATAAACATTGATATCCTATTGAACTTATTCATACTTGATCAGACCAAGATTTAAAGGTAATCGTGTCAGGGCATTGCCATCTTTGCAGGGAGGATGCCTTGAAATTACACTTACAGTCTATTTAAACATGTTGTAAAAACCTTTTTTAATATAAAAATTTTTTAGTTGAAGAATGCAGTAACTGGTTTGTTGAAAATTATGAATTTTTAACAAATTTGTATGATTAGTATTTTAACAACTTTTCTTTTTGTTATCAAACACCGACAATTAAACTATCGCTATGACTTAAAAAAAACCTTAATTATTGTTCTGTTGATAGGGGGGAGGAGGGGAAGGTTAGGGGGTTGAAGGGGGGAAAGAGAGAGAAGAGTAATAAAATAAATACTGTTACTTGATTATGGCTCGTCAGTCTACATGTTGCCTGACGATAAGATAGATTAGAATTATATAATTATATTTCCATTTTCTGCTAATTAATCCGCAATACTTAAAGAGAGTGTTCGCGAGAAATGAAATGATTTACGGCGAAAAATACGCGGTTTTTTTTCGCTGCTAATCTTACTTCTATCTGTTGCGTCTAAAAAACGACCCATAGTCACACCGAAGAACATTGCGTCCTTACAAATTCAGAAAGTGGCAACATATAACTCGGATCGTAAAATAATCAATTTAATTCCAAACAAATCATTCAGATATTGCAAACAATAGTCATCGATTATTTTTCGACGTATTCGTATGTAGTTGATATTTTATAATATTTTTGATTTTTAAAAAAAAATAATATTTCGCTGGCGCTGGATTTTCGAACATTCCTGGAAAATATGAAAATGTCGTCTTCATTATCAAAAATCCTCGAAACAGGAATAAATGTTTTCAAAAATGAAAAATAAAAATAAAACTGTGTCAAATTTATACTGGTCGCATGTCTCTGTCTGTATCACGTGACCACGTCATACGGACTTAAAAATAATATTATCAGTTATATCTATTAAAAATAAAAATAAAAATTATAAATAATAATTGGAGAAACCCTAATATGATCTGTATAAACCTACCATTTCTATACAAAATTGTATATATATAAATTTTCGTATAAATTTGACACAGTTTTATATCAATTTTTCGAGACAGGAACATCAGATAAAACTTTCATGGGTCGGGATCAAGAGCTAAAGCAATTAGCTTTCAGCCTATACCCTTCCATTTTTCCTTTACAGTCCCTTTAAACAATTAAGGTTGTCTACACGTATGGACGTTTGGTAAAAAGCAAAAAATTATATAGATTTCTTCATTAAATGTTCATAATAGCCCCCGTCCTCTTTGGCAAACAAATTGGTTCTGGAGCGGTAGTTGTCAGCTAATTTGACATTGGCGAGAGGAAGGCGACAGGGGTTTTAACGCTGAGCCCTTATTTGGCTGTAATTTTCAGGGAACTCTCTCTATGGCCAGGCGTAGGTCGTATTTTAAAAAGATCGGAGCATTATTTCTGGTCCGCCCCTCTAAATAACATGATTTTTGGTGAAAATATGTCGTGTCAGAAAGTATGAAATTGCAGATTTACATGTTTGTATTTCCCGAATTTTTATTACGTATTATAAAACGTCCATTAATAAGTTACTTAGATTTTTTAAAATCAGAACGATTTTTAAAATGGCTGAGATCTATGCTTTTTAAGAATTACAGAATTAAAAACACCCTGTATATGTTTTGTTTTGTGATTTGTCTGTCTGTTTGTGTGTTCGTTAAATTTCAAGATCCAACAGATTTATCAGTTCTGTGACTGTCCTTTTACCAGCAAACTGTGAATTTCAAGATCCAACAGATTTAACAGTTCTGTGACTGTCCTTTTACCAGCAAACTGTGAATTTCAAGATCCAACAGATTTAACAGTTCTGTGACTGTCCTTTTACCAGCAAACTGTGAATTCTTCTAAACATAAATGCCTTTTCTCTTCTTTGATTTTTGTCAGCATCCACGTTTTGAATGAAAAAGTTTTATATTTGTTGAATTATTGAATTGACCAAAACGTGATTGAATTCATAAGAAACCGAATGCATCTCGCCCTGGTTAGACCAGGGTGAAACGGATAAATATTTCAGGCCAAATTTTTTTTTGTGGTAATTTACATGTCCCTTAAAGGAAGGGTTATCACGGGTGGAAGTTAACAAATTACGGTGAGAAAACCTTTCGATTTGAGATTTTTGGAAATCAATCAAAAAAATCTTTTTAAAAATCTAAAAAAAAATCCATGAAATTTTTTTTACGCTGTACAAAAATAAGAGATGCGAAGTGCCCTGAGCTGAAAACTTTAGAATGGTGGATATCGGGATTAAGGCTTAATCCACTCTTTTTCTTAATCTGCAGATTAAATATTGCTTGTTCTCCACTCATTTTTAATCTCCAGATTAATTATCCGATCAGGATTAAGGATATCCCATTCAAAAGTTCCCATCTCTGAACGTTTAGAAATCTACATTGGGGTAATTTATGTTCCTTTTTTAAAATACATTTTACGGGAAATATTTGCATTCTAATCTAATTTTATGTTAGCACTAGTGAACATTGGCCATTTCAGAAGCCATGAGCCAATATGTTGAGTTATCAATAATTATAATGTTTTAAAGTGCTGCTGAAATCTTAAATACAAATAAATATAAATACATATATAAGTTTATATATCAGTAAATAATATTTGAGCAAATAGCAGCAAAACTTTATCATAAAATGATGGTTCAGTTGTATGATTTTTAAGGTTTTTTTTTATTTAAATAATTAAACCTATTTGTTCCAAACAACACGTCAAATATCAAAATTATGTTTTTTGTTTTATAAAAAAATTCAAAATCTAACAGAACACGAAGAAATAGTCGAAACAAATTGTTGTGTATATATATAAATATAAAAAAAAAATTTTTTCAAAATGCAATAGATATTTAAATTTAAAAAAATTTTCAAGTCTTAAAATCTGTCTTTGCACTGTGGATGTTGTTTACGTACTGCTGATATGAAAATTGTTTAAAAGTAAAGAATGTGCAATTTTAATAAAAGAATTTACGCTACTAGAATCACTGCAGTTCAGTTTACTGCTAGAGTAGATCACTCCAAAATTAGATTAAACTTGGAACTCTTACATCTTTCCTGCCTTTTATCCTTTATTAAAGACATTGATTTGCTTCAAGGGACTGTAAGCGTAATCTCCAAGGACCCTCCATGCAAAGATGGCGATTTCCGATTTACAAAGGTACCCTTGAAACCTTAACCTGATGAAAAATGTGGAAGATATCGTCGTTTTCTGATTCGAAAATTGTTTCTTATGTAAGAAATGCGGAAGAGAAACCGCAAATGTATTTAAACTGTTAAAAAAACAACAACATGGATTTCTAAAAATTCCCACTTAATCACACAAAGCTTTTCAGGGTACCATTGTAAATCAGGCATTGCCATCTTTGCAAAGAGGGTCACTTAATTTTACGCTTACAGTCCCTTTAAGATAAGTTAGTCAAACTACAAAATTGGCTCTCCTGTGCGATGTAGAAAAATGCTTTAGTTAGTACAACAAATTAAATCGTTTTTAAAAACATCAAAAAGAGTAAAATATGATATTAAAAAAATTGAAACAGTTATCTTTTTGGGACTTTTGTGTATTTTTGTATATCTGGAAAAATTGATATTGTATTCTGAAAATATTTTCCCTTTGTCTAAACCTAAGAGAGAGGTTTAGGAATAATGTAGTTTTGAAGGATATAATCCTTCTTTGACAGATAGTCTCAACAATGCATAACTCAATAGAAAATTAACTAATGGATACATAGAAGTTATAGGGCTAATAGATACATAGAAGCAGAGATAATAGATACATAGTAGTTATAGGGCTAATGGATACATAGAAGCAGAGATAATAGATACATAGAAACAGACCTACTAGATACATAGAAGCAGAACTACTTGATAAATAGAAGCAGGGATAATATATACATAGAAGCAGGGATAATAGATAGAAAGAAGCAGGGATAATAGATACATAGAAGCAGAGATAATTGATAATACAAGCAGGGATAATAGATACATAGAAATAGTGATTACAAATTCATAGAAGCAGAGCTAATAGATACATAGAAGCAGGGATAATAGATACATAGAAGTAAAGATAATTTATATTACAAGCAGGGATAATAGATACATAGAAGCAGAGCTAATTGATACATTGAAGCAGGGATAATAAACACATAGAAGCAGGGATTTCAGATTCATAGAATCAGAGCTAATAGATAAATAGAAGCAGGGATAATTGATACATAGAAGAAGGGATTACAGATTCATAGAAATAGGGATAATAGATACATAGAAGCAGAGCTAATAGATACATAGAAGCAGGGATAATAGATACATAGAAACAGGGATTACAGATTCATAGAAATAGGGATAATAGATACAGAGAAGCAGGGATAATGTATACATAGAAGCTGGGATTACAGATGCAAAGAAGCAGAGATAATAGATACATAGAAGCAGGGATAATTTATAGATAGAAGCAGGGATAATAGATACATAGAAGCAGAGCTACTAGATACATAGAAACAGAGCTACTAGATACATGGATGCAGAGCTACTAGATACATAGACGCAGGGATAATAAATGAATAGAGGCAGGGATAATATGTAGATATATAGAAGCAGGGATAATAGATAGATAGAAGCAGGGATAATAGATACATAGAAGCAGGGATAATAGATAGATAGAAGCAGGGATAATAGATACATAGAAGCAGGGATAATAGATACATAGAAGCAGAGATAATAAATACATAGAAGCAGAGCTCATTGATACATAGAAGCAGGGATAATAGATACATAGAAGCAGACATAATAGATAGATAGAAGCAGGCATAATAGATACATAGAAGCAGGGATAATAGATACATAGAAGCAGAGATAATAGATACATAGAAGCATGTCTAATTGATACATAGAAGCAGGGATAATATATATACATAGAAGCTGGGATTACAGATGCAAAGAAGCAGAGATAATAGATACATAGAAGCAGGGATAAAAGATAGACAGAAGTAGGGATAATAGATAATAGATACATAGAGGAGCAGGGTTAATGGATAAATAGAGGCAGGGATAATATATATATAGAGGCGAGGATAATGTATACATAGAAGCAGAGATAATAGATACGTTTAATCTACATGGAAGAAAATAGATATATTGAAGCAGGGATAATAGATTCAAAGAAGCAGAGATAATAGATACATAGAAGCAGGGCTAAAAAAAACATAGAAAAAGTGATATTAAATGAATAGAGGCAGGGATAATATGTAAAAATAGAAGCAGGGATAATAGATACATAGAAGGAAGCAAGTAAAACAGATACGAAACTCTTAGTCTAAACGATTTAGCTTTTTTTCTTTTTATTTTTGCAATAAATCCCTTGTAATAAGATGCAAAAACATTTTGGATTTTCAAGCATTTTTATTCATCAAACAGCGATTTCAATCCATTGAAATTGAAAGTATATTAGCTGCACTTATTTAAAATGTCCCACACTGTTTATAGAAAGTATATTAGCTGCACTTATTTAAAAAGTGCCACACTGTTTATAGAAAGTATATTAGCTGCACTTATTTAAAAAGTGCCACACTGTTTATAGAAAGTATATTAGCTGCACTTATTTAAAAAGTGCCACACTGTTTATAGAAAGTTAGATATTCGATGAATATTGGCCGCGTAAAGTAATGAAGCGGAAAAGATAATTTTTTTATCTTGTTTCGCCAATCTGCAATATAGTATTTACTTGGAGATGTTTTTGATCCACACAGATTCTATATTCTTTGTATGGATTGTAATCCTATCATACACTTAGATTTAATCCTGGTTTACATATTATGATAAATCTATGCAGCTCCTTATAAAATATACTGTAGGGAAAACTTGGTTCTTCAAGTTTTCAACTTTTTAAACCTTTTATTGAAAATAAATTGAAACTTTATCTTACTTTTGCATAGTTTTGCATAAATGAAGACAAAATGAATCGTGTTCAAGATGTTTCCAAAGTTTGATGCCAAGCAAGAACTTTTCTCAATTAAGGGGTTGACAAATAATTAAAAAAGTAGAGCTGCATTTTTAAACCTAGGCTTCCAAAGCGCTATTCCCCCACCTTCGTTTTTAACTATAAATTTTTGCTCTTTTTAAGTTTTTTTTTTGTTTTTTTTGAACAATCGAAATTTTGTTCAGGTAATTTCTTTTTCAATTCTAACCATTCATAAACCTTCCTGGCCTGAGATCTTGTGAGGTTCCAAAAATAACTTGGGCTCGATCGGTTCAGCCGTTTTGACGTTTATCGGTTACAAACAAAAAACTAACAAACACCCAAACAACCAGACACCCAAGCAAAGTATATATAAATATATATATATATATATATATATATATATATATATATGGATTAGTCGAACAGATATATTGTACTTTTCTGAAAAGTTTATTTGTAATAACGTGTTACGTGTAACAAACACAGAAAGTTTATGTAAAATGTGTTACGTGTAACGAACGCATAAAATGTATGTGTAACGTGTTACTGTAACAAATGCAGAAAGTCTATGTGTAACCTGTTGCGTGTAACGAACACAGAAAAGGCATGTGAACGTGTTATGTGTAACGAACACAGAAAGTGCATGTGTAACGTGTTACGTGTAACGAACACAGAAAGTTTATGTAAAATGTGTTACGTGTAACGAACGCAGAAAATGTATGTGTAACGTGTTACTGTAACAAACGCAGAAAGTGTATGTGTAACCTGTTACGTGTAACGAACACAGAAAGTGTATGTGAACGTGTTACGTGTAACGAACACAGAAAGTGTATGTGAACGTGTTACGTGTAACGAATACAGAAAGTGTATGTGAACGTGTTACGTGTAACGAACACAGAAAGTATATGTGAACGTGTTACGTGTAACGAACACAGAAAAGGTATGTGTACCGTGTTACGTGTAACAAACAATTAAAACTAAAGACGTGATTTAATTTACCAAACGTGTTTTTTCCTTTAAAGGATACAAATTACAGAATAAGTGTATTGCTCTCTAACAGTATATTATTCTAGGATACAGAATGAGCGTACTGCTCTCTAACAGTATATTATTCTAGGATACAGAATGAGTTTGCTGCTCTCTAACAGTATATTATTCTAGGATACAGAATGAGTTTGCTGCTCCCTAACTGTATATTATTCTAGGATACAGAATGAGTTTGCTGCTCTCTAGCAGTATATTATTCTAGGATACAGAATGAGTGTACTTCTAGGATACAGAATGAGTTTGCTGTTCTCTAACAGTATATTATTATAGGATACAGAATGATTTTGCTGCTCTCTAACAGTATATTATTCTAAGATACAGAATGAGTTTGCTGCTCTCTAACTGTATATTATTCTAGGGTACAGAATGAGTTTGCTGCTCTCTAACTCCTCGTGATGTCCGGAGAAGTAAAGTGATATCTTCTAGGATAAGTTTAATCCCCCTCTCATCCCCCGCCAAACAATGACGAGTTACTCGTCCCTCTTGTCAGCCTTGAACCCGTCCTTTCACTTGCTCATCGTCCTCTTCATTCTAGTCTACTCTCCCGTACCAACCTCGCAGCTTAGATGTTATACAGACCTGGAGGCAAATAAAGTGAGAAAATTAAAGATTTTAAAGGGACTGTTGACAATATTTCAAGTGACCCTACATTTTTAGAGATAGGGCCTGATTCACAACTATACCATTTAACTTTTGTCTGAGTCCAAATGATATTCATATTTTTTTGTAGGAAAATTTGTCAATTAATCTAGAGGAAATTAAATAACTTATAAATAGAAAACCAACGAGTTCTTCCTCAATGTTGCTCAAATAAAAGATTTAACAGTCCCTTTAAGCGATCACTCTGTGAGTGCTCTCCCTTTGGGTTTTGATACACGCTTGGTAATTAACCCTGCTCTTTTATCGTATATCTTGGTAATTAACCCTGCTCTTTTATCGTATACCTTGGTAATTAACCCTGCTCTTTTATCCTATACCTTGGTAATTAACCCTGCTCTTTTATCCTATACCTTGGTAATTAACCCTGCTCTTTTATCCTATACCTTGGTAATTAACCCTGCTCTTTTATCCTATACCTTTGTAATTAACCCTGCTCTTTTATCCTATACCTTGGTAATTAACCCTGCTCTTTTATCCTATACCGTGGTAATTAACCCTGCTCTTTCATCCTATACCTTGGTAATTAACCCTGCTCTTTTATCGTATACCTTGGTAATTAACCCTGCTCTTTTATCCTATACCGTGGTAATTAACCCTGCTCTTTTATCCTATACCTTGGTAATTAACCCTGCTCTTTTATCCTATACCTTGGTAATTAACCCTGCTCTTTCATCCTATACCTTGGTAATTAACCCTGCTCTTTTATCGTATACCTTGGTAATTAACCCTGCTCTTTTATCCTATACTTTGGTAATATGAGAATAGTAAAATAATGTATAAAACTCATATTTAATAATTTTCCCCAACTTTGTATAAATTTAACATTGTTCTTTCAAACTTTGCTGGAAAAATATTACTAAATTCCCCCAAAGAAAAAGAAAAAAAAGATCGTTTGTTTACATTTCTTGAAACATTAATTTTTGATATACATAATATTTTTCCTTCTCAGTTTAAAACTAGAATAAAAAATAAAAATAGTGGCAATTTTCAAAATTGAATTTTAAAATTGAGAAGAAAATAAAAGTTGTGTATCTGTAAAAGTAAAAGTATCTACTATCTACTTTAAATAGCTATCTATAATCTACTATCTACTATCTAATATCTACTTTAAATAACTATCTACAATCTACTATTTACTATCTACTTTAAATAAATATCTTCAATCTTTGATCTACTATCTACAAATAACTATCTACTATCTACTATCTACTATCTATTATCTACTATCTACTATCTACTATCTACTATCTACTATCTACTATCTACTATCTACTATCTAGGCTAACTCTGTAGAGTGTGGAATGAATACTGGTTGTTTAAAGATCTACAAGAAAGCTCAAGGGTTTGATGAGGAAAATAAATTTATCCCTCTGGAGAAAAGAGGAACAGATATTGAACTTTTTAGAGGTAAGCCTTTATATTTGATCTTCAGGAATCAATTCAACTTAAAGGGTCTGTTCGTGAAAAACTATCGGATCTGAAATAAGAAAACATTCGTCGTGTAAAGCGGAGTAGTCACATAAATTCCTTTTAAAAGGACTGTTTGTCACTTTATTGCTATATGGAAATGCAAAAGTTTAGAAGTGGGTTATTTCCAAAAATTATTAGCGGACAACCCCCCCCCCCCTCCCGGTTCCTCCTCCAATCCACTTTAAATATGTCCGTACTAGACTGTAAAGTTTAAATCAGTTCTTTAACAGAACTATTTCTGCAAGTTTTATGATATCTAAAAATAACAACGGAAAGAAAATTTAACTTTATGGAAGGAAAACATGATGAAAAAAACTTTGTTTGTCATAAGTCATATAAGTTTGCCCACTTGGTTCGTCAGGTTAGTTTGTGAGTTTGGTTTGTGAGGTTAGTTTGTGAGGTTAGTTTGTGAGCTGAGGTTAGTTTGTGAGGTTAGTTTGTGAGGTTAGCTTGTGAGGTTAGTTTGTCAGGTTAGTTTGTCAGGTTAGTTTGTCAGGTTAGTTTTCCAGGTTACTTTGTCAGGTTAGTTTGTCAGATTAGTTTGTAGGTTAGTTTGTGAGGTTGGTTTGTGAGGTTAGTCTGACAGGTTAGTTTGATCTAACAGAATTCACAGTTTAATATATCTAAGGTCTACGATATTGGGTTGCAAAGATATAAGGATTAGAAATTAGAGTTTGTGACAAAAACTCAATTCTCTTGTCAAGTTAGTTTGTCAGGTTAATTAGATAGGTTTGTTCTATAAAGAAAATCAAATTGATATTTTAGAGGGACAAATTAAAAAAATTTCTGTCAGTTGGTACTTAAATATGTATATATATATGTATAAATAACAGTTTTATTATTTAGCTGTCTAAAAGAAAGGAAAATGTGAAATATTTATGGTTTTTGTAATTTGTTTACATTTGCTTTTATAAAAATATGTTAACGACTAATACATTTTAAAGAAAGGATAAGGAAGTATAGACTAGCAGACTCGAGTTTAAAAATTATTAGAATTTTATCAACATCAAAATAAATGTGATAATGCAATAAGGTCTCTTTTCGTATTAAATAGTTTTGAAAATTTAAAGAAATCATCGTTAGATTAGTATATGTTAGTATATAGTTAGATTAGTATATGTTAGTATTAGTTAGATTAGTATATGTTAGTATTAGTTAGATTAGTATATGTTAGTATTAGTTAGATTAGTATATGTTAGTATTAGTTAGATTAGTATATGTTAGTATTAGTTAGATTAGTATATGTTAGTATTAGTTAGATTAGTATATGTTAGTATTAGTTAGATTAGTATATGTTAGTATTAGTTAGATTAGTATATGTTAGTATTAGTTAGATTAGTATATGTTAGTATTAGTTAGATTAGTATATGTTAGTATNTTATATAAAGGGACTTTAAACATAATTCATTATTTAAAGGGACTGTAGCATAATTCATTACTTAAAGGGACTGTAAACATAATTCATTATTTAAAGAGACTGTAAACATAATTCATTACTTAAAGGGACTGTAGCATAAAGTTCTTTTATGAGTAGTAGAAATTCAGGTTGTTTTAAAAGTTCTCGTTTTGAGATTATAACTTTTGCTATTTTCTCACTCCGATTTTTGACTACTAACAGAATAATTATTTTTCACATGTTTTTAATCCTGCAAAGAAAACGTATATTTGAAAATTTTTTTCTCTAAAAGTTAGGGTTATTTTTGGTACCAAGAAGTAAGAAGGAAAGTAGAATCTAAAGAACAAGGGTTCTTCACGAATGAGATGGTGTTCTTGTGTTCAGTAAAATAATGAAATTGAATCTTTTCCACAAACTCCATTTTTTTATCCCTATATCTTTGCAATCCAATGTTGCAGATCTTAGATGTTTTAAACTAAATCATGTTAGATCAGATAAGTTAAAAATATCAAATGTTAACACTATCAGATGGCAAAGATATAAGGATTAGAAAGCATCTGTAAAACAAAAAAAGATTCTGTAACGGTCAATTTGAACAAAATTCTCTTCCTGTGCATGGAATGAAATCATGCAGGAGAAACCGGGATCTCTTCATGTAAAAAAATTATTTCTATCTAATTCACCTGCAGCCTCTGTCAGGTTTGTTTTCTGGATTTTCAAATATGCTCATATAAGAAAGTGCTCCATTTTTGTTATCTTTTTAATATTTAAAAAAATATTTAGATACGTATTATATTACTATAGAACCAAACCCATACAAGGGGTTTACACTTTGTGTAGTCTATACAGAAGAAAAATATTAAGCAACAGAAAGCAATAAAAATGTACTATTACTGATAATGTAAGTTCTGAATAGAACGGGGTTCATAACCAGGCTTTCTTTATTGTAGATAACATATTTATTTTGGTGGAATATTTGTACTGTACGCTGTGCACTCTTGTATGCCAACTCCATTAGCGCCAGATCCAATCAGGGTTCAGTCATGTGTTTGGTGTCTATTCTGAACCAATAGAAATTGCATGGCGGTAACACCTATCTTTCTATCTATCTCATTATCCAATCAGAGATAAATCCTTATATCGGCGCTATCACAGTAAATGGAATATTTACTTCTACTGAAACTATATAGGGAGTGTATAAGCACTAAATATAGTATTTACTTGTACTGAAACTATAGTGAGTGTATAAGCACTAAATATAGTATTTACTTCTACTGAAACTATATAGTGAGTGTATAAGCACTAAATATAGTATTTACTTCTACTGAAACTATAGTGAGTGTATAAGCACTAAATATAGTATTTACTTCTACTGAAACTATATAGTGAGTGTATAAGCAATAAATATAGTATTTCTTTAAAATATAAATAATCTAGTGGAGTTCAAATGGCAGGACCCTAGATCTGTAGATCTCCTGAGTTGTCAGTTCATTATATTTTACATTTATCAGCAAAATTCAGAAGCCAGGAGTGACTATCTCCCTCCCCCTCCCTCCCTCCACCCCTCTGTTAACAATCAAAACTTCAACATATTTTAAATTCAGAAAGCCCCCCCCCCCTGAGGTCGTGATTAAATTAGTCTCAACTAAGTTGCCATTTAGATTTGACAAAGTTTAGACAAATGTTTTTAAAAAATTTGACAAAACTCACTAAATCGAGGCTCTAAATAAGAATATTAGAGTTGTGACCATAAGGGATCCAGAATCGAGAATTAGGTTTAAAATCGCTACTTCAAAATCGAAAATCTAGAGATTCCTCCCTCCTCCTCTCCTAACCTTTTTCAGTAAAAAACTGTTTAAAAATATATCTTTATTGTACGTACATAATACAAACTCCTCTGTAATTTTTCTTTTCTTGTATCTGACATAATTCGTCAGACAAGAGTAATCTGGAATAATCAGCTTTATTCTTTAAATATACAAGGTATTACAGACTCTATAGATAGGACAGAATAAGCTTTATTCTTTATATATACAAGGTATATTTAATTAATGCGGCTTTTTCAATAAATAAATAAATAAATACACAAATCAAATTCTTGTTGCAACAAACCTAGAAAGGTTTAAATTAAAAGAATATAAAAACGACCAATTAAGGTTGGAGGTTTCTAAACTGGATAAAGGATTGTAATGACTAAATTTAATCTTTTATTTAATTTATGCAATGTTTAAATTGAGAAGAATGGGTGACATTTTAGTTTGCCGAGTAAACTATTTATTATGCTAGTATAATTCATTAATCCACGGTTGACCTCCAAATCCAAAGCGAATAGATTATACATAGAGCGGAATTTACTCGAAAAAAAGATTAAAACAGTCATTTTGTTATACTGTCTCCATACTGCAGGTGTACTATATAACCTTTAGGGCCCTGGAACGTCACTTTATAGAATAGTTTTCGTGAAAATGATGTGATTTTCTCTAAATCAATTCTCTGATAGCCTATCATGAATTCTCGAGTTCTTTTCAGCATAAACTTCAATAAAAATCAATTGTTTTTATTTAGTAAAAAACATACTTTTTTATTTGAGGTAATCAAACAGTAAAAACCAATATTTTTGAAATACTCAAGATACCAAAATATTAAAATTGAGGATGAGGAAGGTAAATGGTTATTATCTCTTTAATTTTAATTTCATAACTTGTATACAGTGGGACTCATAAAACTGTGAAATGGAAGGAAAACATTTAACCAATCTAATCTGTGGTTCCTAAGTTTTAAGTCTTGTTAGATAGTAAAATAGCTCTGAGACAGCTAAGGGGCAGGTGGAAAAGGGGGAAACAACCCTAGAAAATTGCGGGAAGCTTCTAAATGTAGGATGTTTATATACTTAAATTCTATTTTAAGAATGGATTAAAAAAAATTTCCCTGTGGAACACTTAATAAATAGAAATTGTTAAAATTTGCTTGTGGGGACCAGAAAACCAGAAAACCTTAGGAAAGGTCGAAATTAATGACTCATTACACATTATAAAAAAAAGTATGGCTGAGGGTTCAGTTTGAGCACCAAGCTTTTAGCCTGAAATGGCTTTTTTGGAGCTATAAATGGCATTTTTCTTTTTGATGCCATTTTCCTTGAAGTAAAAATAATTTATGGCTATTTGTAATAGCTTAAAGGAAAAGAAAAAATATTGCTAAACTGCAGACAAAATATCTATCTAAATTGCCTTTGAAAAAAGGAAGCATATTGCCTAAATCTTGCAGGGAAGTTTTGCATTTTTGCTATGTGGTTGGATTTGAAAAAACTATTTTGACATTTTCAAATATGAATTTTTTTTCTTTACTGGTTCATCAACCTCGATATCCTGGCTTAATCCTGGAATCCCCTTGCTAGAGTTGTCTTCTAATTTGTTTTGCTTTTTGGAACAGCCAGTATATGTTCTGCATTGATTTACGAAAATCATCCAAATTTTGAGAAAAATATTTATTGTCAACATTTAAACCCTTATTTTTGTTTTACAATGATATACAAAGAGAAAACGTTCACAATTAAAGATGGGTGTGTAGCGCCCTAAAAGCCTCCCTATTTGAAATAGGAAAATTAATTTAAAACAAGATATTCATTGCAGTATACAAAAGAGTCAGAAGCAAAACAGATTAACAATTCTGTAGGTATTCACTTTACAAATGTTTACATTTTGATGTTTAATAAAATAATGATTTTAATTCACCTATAGCGAATACACACGTTTAAAGTTATTTGACAACTTTATAAAACAAAGAAATTGGAATGGATATGTCCTGGGATCATACTGTATTAGAGTGATGAACCGCGTATAATTTGTGAACATTTACATGAATTGTACACGTTGAACTCCCTTTCAGAGTTAGAGAGGGACTGACAAATAGCATACCAAGGGATTGTTTAAATTCCACTCTATGTATAATCTACTCTCTTTGTCCAAATCGCTTATCGTAGACTAAAGATTATCATGAACTAATACAACCCCGACAATATAAGATTCTACCTGTAAAGTTCCCTGTATCAATTTACCAATTATTTCTACTCCGAGTCATAACAAGGAACAGAAAACTTCTTCATTATTTCTGATATTTCAATTTGTTAAGAGAGAAAGGGACGTCTTTCAATTTCAACACTTTTGATGCTTTGACCGTGTAGTAAAGCATCCAAAGTGTAATTTGAAAGCATCATAATCAACATTTGAAAGCATCATACCAACTTGAAACCGTGTTTTCTAGTTAATACAGGACAAAACTTTTACAATAAAGAACACAAAAATAATATTACATTTCTCTATCAACTGTCATAGTCATTTGGTAATATTAACCTCACACCTTCTTTAAGTATAATAAAACAAAGGTTTGATAAAGAGTATTACAACATTAAAATACAGAAAATATACAGAGTGGACTGTAAGGGGGGATATAGACTGAAACCATAGAGAATAGAATATATATTAGAGAGGAATTTAAAGAATCTCTCGGTATGAATTTTTTCAGTCCCTTTCAGCCTGAAAGGGAGTTCAAAGTGTACAAATCATGTAAATGTTCACAAATTATATGCAGGAGAGTACATTAATACAGTATGTTCCCTAGACTATTCATTTCAATTTCGAATTTTTTAAACTGTTAAATAAACTTTATAATGAATTAGGTGAATAAAAACATCATCATTTGATTTATAGTTATAACGGAAAATCATCGTTTGTAAAGTGGAAGGCATAGAGTCTATGTGAAATGATCATTGGTCAATTATGAAACCAGCCTATTTCATAATTTGGTT